CCAGAGTTGGTGATTGTTGGGAACACTAACAGAGACGGTTTTGGTTAGTTTTATTTAATTTCTGTCCAGTTTGAAGTATTTTGTGATTATCTGTGAGGTAAAAAGACCGGTTTTGTCAATGGAGTCTGGTTGGCTTGGTCTGACATGCTAATGCTCTAGTGCGACATATGTGCAGCCTGAAAGCAGTACCTGCAGACACTGCTCAGGCATTACAAAAAACTATTTGTGTTATGTTTTAATGTTAAAAAGTATAATTTATCAGTATTTTATTTATAATTTTGTCAGAAATAAGACCATAAAGCAGCTCTTTGTAGTGAAGATGCTGACAATAGCACCTGAGTGAGAAATTTTCCAGGACAACATAGTTAATTTCCAGGATATTGGGTCATTTTTATCAAATTATCAGGTGTTTCCATGACTGGAAAACTATTTCTAGGTTTTTCCAGGTTCATGTTCAAATCAGAATCAGATTCATTCATTGTGTGTCCCTGCCTCATGCTGCTTGTTTTAGGTTGTGCAGTTGTCATGGCAACAGAAACACAGCTGGATCATTTGATCAACTGTAGTGAAAACCTAAAGCGAGTCTGAGGAGGTAAATAACACAGCTATTATCTGTTAAAGGTTTCCATCTCATTTTTATCTCACTATTGGAGAACGATTAAAAGCAACTTCACAAAAACATGCAGCGAGTGTCAGTTCACTGTGGACATGTACGCAAGAAGAGATTCAGGGATGAAAACTTACTTTCCAACGACATCTTTAACCTTGTTGTTGACCAGAGCCAGGTAGTGGTCGATCTGAGCCTGAAAACACACACACACCACACACACACAGATTATTAATGGGAGAGGAAAGAAGAAAAGTTCTGATACACAAATTTTTCAGTTTTATGGCTTTACTCTTATTGTCTTCTTTCTGTTTTATTTTCAGGCTTTGGACCTCAAGCTGTTATTTTAATGAAACTAAATGTAGTGAGGTAGAAGTATTAAGTAGCATTAAATATATGATGGCAATACTCAAGTAGCTCTGAGTTGTATAAGAGTACAGTACTTGAGTAAATGTACTTCTTTACATTCCACCACTGAACTTTTCACATGCTGGTAAACAATGAGACTGCTGTTGGTGATGTTGACAGAACAGCTTATAATGTTCTCACGAGTTTGAGGTTAAAATGGAAATAAAGTCACGCTGTACTCAAAATCAATAATACACTGACGTCTTGTTTTCACACTAAAAGTCATTCATCGACACATTTGCCTTTAAGTTGTGTTTTATTTTTGACTCATTTTACTTTTGTAAAGCTGTAAGGATGTTTGGAATAAACTAAAATGTGCAGATGTTTTTCTCATGTGCACTGGGTCCATTAAAGACAAACAGCTGTCAGACGGACAGCAGGAAAATCTGTTTGAGGGAAAAAATTTTCTTAAAAAACTAAAGTTAGTGCTGATCCTCGGATTTCTCCACAAACAGCATTTTAAAGGAAATGTTGAATTATTATTGCGACTGTGGATCTCACCTGGTGTTTCTCGTAGACGATCGGGCAGCTGAACACTGCAATCAGACCTGAAGAAGAAGACAAGTTGCATTTTGAGTGAACCTGAACTCGTTCAGAAACTCAGATTACAGTTACGGTTTGATCTTAATCAGTCAGTCAATGAGTGGGCCTCAGTATTTCCATATCACCACCAGATGGGGCCAAAGAAGAAATAATATCTCCCACAGAAAATTAACTGATACATCATCAGTTAAAGCCTCTAAGGCTGATGGGAAATGAAAGCTTCGTATCAGCACACAAGACTGTTTCCTCACCCAGAATAATAAGAGTGAGCCCGTTGAACAAGGCACCGACGTAGGTCAGGATCCACATCAACACAGCAAACTGCAGAGGGAGAGAGAACAAACGTTTAACGGACATGAACAAGAACAACATGCTTTCTATAGACCAGAGGAAACACTCCACATTGGTTACAACTCCTTTGTGTTTTAGGGGTCAGAGGTCACACGTGCAGTATTCAATAAGCAGCTATGATGTTAAATGGTACACAGCTCATTCCTCCAACAATCATTTTAATGAAAGAGGGAAATGAATAGGGTTTATTGGGGTCAATACCACTGAGAGTTTCCTCTCAGGAATCAATTAAGGTTCAGCTCTTCTCTGTATTCACTCTCACAGCATTATGCAGGAGACATAATGCTGCACAGTCTGAAGAGAGACCCTCAACGTAATCTAAATACTGATCAGAGAATATCTGGACACATTCAGAGGAACAGAAATATCTCAGTGGCCATGTTGTGCTCTCTACATGTACCAATAACATGATTGACTGTACTATGCAAAGAGTTTTCTTTTTGATTCAAGTTAATTGTTCATTCCTATCAGTTCTAAACCTTCAATAACGTTAACATGCTGACAACACTGATATATCGTTATAAAGAAGAAAATTCTACAACCAGAAAATATTTAAGTTAAGTTTGATAAATGTCTCAAAGTAAAGCATTGAACGTGATTTAGTGGCATCTAGTGGTGAGACTGTAGATTGCAACCAACTGAAAACCCTTGATTCAACCATGAGTGTGGGTTCAACATAGCGCTCCTCTGTAGATAAAAACAGCTCATTCTAAGGAATGAATCAACTCAACCATTTAGGTTTTTTGAGCGATGTCACTTTGTTCAAACATCCAGAACTGTTCACTGGTCGTACACACACCTGCCACTACGACAACATCCAAAGCTCAAAAGCTTCAGTCTTCAAACTAATCTTCACTTTGTGAAACAGACCTGAACCCTGAAGCAGTTTTAATATATGAATGTTCAGTGTGTAAAATAACATGACAGCTTTTCTGCTCGTGTTAATGACCAACTGGAAAACAGCCGGAGCCAACATGGCTGCCAGTGAAAAGAAAGCCAACAGTTAGATTTCTGACTGCAGGCTATGAGGCAGATTTTATGTGCGTGACATTTTGATGACCTGCTGGTGTGGTTGTAAATATTCTCTGCTGGCAAAGCAGGGAGAATAACAGGAAATTAATCAGAGGCAGAAGAATAACACGAACATCCCATAATACATCCACACGTTTGTAATGAAATGTGAAACATTCGTGAGGCTCACACACATCTGACCCTGATCAGATTAAAAGAATCGGACTTTTTTGCCCTCTTAGTGAATTTCATGTGATCCGTTATTGCGGCTGATGGACTGAGTGCAGATCTGTATTTGGACTGCAGGTCGGAGAGCGGGAGGGTGCAGGGAGGTGACGACAGGCCTCTGACAGCTGCAGAGCTCTCAGTGTCTTATATTAACGCACTGTAGGTGCTACCCATTAACACAGCTGATCCATGAGAAACCAGCGACTGAAAGGACGGCAGGTCTACATCACGTACAGAAGACCACCAAATCAAAAGTAAGACCCAACAACAAACCAAATAAAGATAAAGGTTTTCACAGAGAACGCCAGCTGTTGGGTGGATTTATTTCAACCAAAGCAGAGTTGGTGATTATATATATATAAAAAACCTTTAAAAAACAATGAAAAATGTCTAGCTCTTGCCAATATTTGCAACTTACCTATTTTTTCATGTTAAATGTGTCATGTGTATGTGTAAATACTCTTTTCCTTATAATAATGATCATTTCAGGGTCCAAATATTGTGAACCGGAGTCGTTCTCACCTTGATGGAGTCGACCAGGTCCTCGACCAGGAACAGGCGTCTTAATTCACCAAGGGTCTTGTTGAGTTTGGCCAGAACCATGTCGCTGTACTTGTGGACCATGTCCTCGGACAGTGCCACCTCCTGGTCCAGGTACTGCCTGAGAGGGACAGCAGAGTAGCAGGTTACACAGAGCAGAGATGGTGAGGATCAGACTAATAATGTGTATGAAAAATGAAAAGCTTAGTGTGGTAATAATGTCACACAGAGTTGCTCACAGAAAGATGATTAAAGGAGTTTTACTTGAAAACATGACATCAGCTATTGAGGATTTCTGAAGGATTCACCTTAAGATCTTTCCAGACATGTTTGTCTGACTGCGGTGTTTCCTCTTCTATGCAGCTTTAATCTTTCTCACTGAGGTTTTCAAACTGTAAAATCTGTAGAAATCAGCCTGTAATGCCACTCTGAGCTCACTTTTCCCCAGTTTATGTTAATCTGAGCTAATTGGGCTTTAATGTGCTGTGAGGTCAGTTTGCAGACCAGTGGCTGAAAACACTGTAAGAAGGTTTTGTCCAACAGCCAGGAAGGAGGATAAGCAACCAAACAAGACTAGAGTGAACAATCCACTCTGCACAGTAACTCACTGCTTTACTGCTGAATAAACAGATATTTATATATTTCTGTGTTGATGGGGCTCTGTGACCTCTGACCTCGTATGTTGGTTAGAACATAAATATTGAAACAAAGTTCTTTATCACAATACGAAATTAAGATTTGGGCGTGACATTTATCATGATATCAGCAGACAGGTCCGACTGCCCGCAGCGCTGACTGATAATTAGGATTAATCAGCTCATTGATTTCTGTGATTGGATTGAGTCAAAGTCCCAATGAAAGCAGACAGGCAGAAGACTCTGGGAAGATCTTTTTTTCATAAAACTGGGCAGCCTATACAGTAGTACCAGAATGCACTGGGCCACAGCAGATCAATAAAATGGTTATTTTGCATTGCTTGGTTTTGGCTTGTCCGTTTTCAAGCACAAAAAAAAAAAAAGCTAAATGGAACACAACCTTACTTAGTATCATCGGTAACACTTGCGATTACCCTACTATTTAATGTCAAAATGGCTGCTGTGAAAAAAGTCTACTTGGTGGGAAACAGGGTACTCCTGACCCACACCTCTCTTCCCAGTGTTCCTGTTTGGAGCCTTGATTGCAGTGTTTCTGAACCATTCATTTGACCTCGGCTTCCTGTCTCACCATCACATTATAGTTTGTTAGTAATCATGGATGTTTGTATGCGCTACTGACTTTATTCCTTCTCTCCTGCTGGTACTCACTTGAATGGGTGTCCCTCATCTGACTTCTGAATGGCCTGCAGGATGCCTTTGTATATCCTGAAGCAGATGGTGACGGAGAGCAGAGCCAGGCCGATGTAGGAGCAGACGCTCACAATGCTGCACACCATCAGAGAGAGGAGGAGCAGCAGAGCGGCGCCGAACACCACGCCCGTGGTCTTCACATCACGCCAGTAGAGGAGATCCACCACTGCAAGAGGAAGAGGAGGAGGAAGAGTGTGGGGTTAGGGTCAATCATGCAGTGAGAAGTGATAGAGCTCTACTTTATGTCCTTAAGTGATGTCTGAAAGTTGTGTAGCAATTGTGCTTTAAAGCTCCCCTCCGTCAGAAAATCAGTGTTTCTTCTTGTTCATACAGTGTGCTGTTTGAATGGCTGTCTGTGCAGATTCAAGCACCTAGAGAGGATGTTTTTCACATTCATCCTGCTGAAAGTGGAAAAGTTTCTGAAAAATCTGATTTTCAAGGGGGGCCTGGGGCCCTACGCAGCAGGATTTGTTGACATCACAACACATAATTAAAGCACAGTCCAGTCCTGGTCCAGTATCCAACCTTGTACAGTGTTGATGTAGAAACTTGAAGCCACCAGTTGCACCATCCACTCAGAGAATGGACTTTAGAGTGAAGTAGGAGACATCTTCGTGTCGCAGCAGGAAAACTTTAGAAATTAACAACATTTACATATTCAGAGACTCTGGAAGATTTAATGAGGTAGAAGGATTTTAATGTGTAAATTATACTTTTTTTGTGGAAAAAATGCATTATTTTTCCAAGCAGACTATCTGTATATGTTGTAATTCATGTCTGGAGGGGATCTTTAATATTTTGTTTGGCCATTTGTTGAACAGCAACAGAAATTAGTTATTTTTTACATTATTTGGTTAAATTATATTTGATTTATAACTCAAATATTAAACCTCAATTGTGCAGATATTGTTAAAAACCTTTAAACAAAACCTTTTTTTGTCATTTTTTTAACAAGTAGCCAACTACTGATTGTTAACATGCCCAATAACTGATTGTGGACATCGTGGCGCCTCGTACATGAGCCTGGATCAATGAATGCTCTTCCTGCCCTTCGTCCACACGTACCATGACATCATACATCATGACATTGTCAGGAAACACGAGGGAGACTCACTGGTTGGAGTAAAGAACAAATCAAGGATCAATTTGTTTTGGGTCCAGATGAACTGTGACAGCCACTCTTACAGAGTGACTCAGCGTCGAGTAAAAAAGACCTCAGGGAAAATCGATTTCAAACAAACACTGTTTCTGTCTGCTGACCCTTAAAACTGCTTCAGTTCTCAGCCAACTGTCACATGGATGCTGCATGTGATTGTTTGAAGGTGGAGCAACTGTAAGTCTGTCTCCTCCATCACTGAACCCTACTCTGCTGGAGGTCAAAGGTCGCAGCCATGGTCAGATTCATCCAGTTTTAAAATCCCTGCAGCTTCTGACTCACAAACTTCCCTCTCTGTACTTTCCTCAACTTCCCCCCGATGCCACAATAATGACTTCCGAGTGATGTAACACCAGATCCGGCGGGCATATTGGAGGTCATCAGCTTTGACTTTCATGAGCATTATTTTATGATGTGCCCCCAAAAACATTTCCATCCCAGTTTACTATTGACGTTACGAAACGCCACAGCTCTTAATTTTAAACTCATGAGTTTCCAATTCAGATTCCTGTGGATGAACACTGAAACTCGTCTGCCCCCCCCGCTTAGTGTCCTTTTGTTTAGATGAACAAAATGGCTGCTTACAAAAAGAACCGAGAACAATAATAATGATGGTATCTTACATTTTTCTACAGTACGGTGACATGCTTCCTGTTTGGCAGCATTTCACAGACTCAAACTGTGATGAAACCAAACTTCTAGCACTAAAACTAAAAGCATTTTATGGCACAAGGACCAATGATTAATCAGTGGATTGACAGAAAATTCATCATCAAATGCTCACTAAGCTCATAAACTTTGTCTTTACCCTTCGCCATTTTCTCACTACTGGTCAACTGAGCATGTGCAACTGAGATGAGAAGAAAGCTAATGGCTAACCACTTCTACTACTTCTATCTTTAGCTCAGAAAAAGTTTTGTTTTATTATTTTTTTGTGGCTAGATTTACTAGCCCGACCTGGCATTTTGGTGATCCTTATTGTTGAGCTGAAGGTTTAACTGAGCCATCGGCATGGTCAATATTATCGGTCGGGTTAACCAGTCAGTGTTAATTATTAACAGTGACTGGAGGCAAAACTACAGGTTCTTCTTCAGTATCTGAAGTATGGGTGCTGCAGGGAGCTCCTTTGCTCAGATGTTAGATGGGGGTTGGACTTCGCTGGGAGACAGCTGAGCTCATGACCTGGGTCCTGCACCGAGCACGCTTATATTTCACCAGGGAATTCCAGGCAGGTCAGTGGACAATATTAGAAGTGTACGAGTCCTGGGTTTCCTACAGGCTCTGACGTTGCTCACAGCTGACACATGCTGTACTTTCTGACTCTGAACGACAAGAATGCATCATGTCACACTGCGCACCAGAATCTGAGCGCTTCTGCCAGCAATTACACAACTGAAGAGCCTTTATAAATGTATATCTGTATTTAAAGTTCACTTCTACAGTCAGCAAGTACATGATCCACACTAAAAAAGTATAAAGAAGTCCCAAGGTGTTACATACATCCACAGATAAAATGTGTTTGCTGATAAGTAACTGAGGCTGCAGGCTGAGCTGATGTTTTACAGACAATGGTAGGTGCAGTGGGCAAGGGCGGCCATGTTGCTCACTACCGCAGACTGACTGACCGGCCACAATATGTTTGGCAGCTGGCCAAAGTATTCAACTGCCAATAAAAGAGCTTATGAGGCGGAAAACCTCAAATCAGATCTCCCGCAACAAGTTGTTGCCAAGTGGACAAATCCAATTGACATCTGCACTCATTCAACATAGGATGCTTACCAAGGTACGATTAAGAGCTGAACTGAGGTCGATCAACAACATGTACAATAATCACACAAAAATTTGCAAAGGTCACAATGAAGTAAGCTTCTGAAGACGTCATCTTGTAATGAGTGAATTTGGGATTTTTCATAACATAGAATAGATAAAAAGGCCAGCAGGTTGAATAAATAAGTAAATGTATTGTTAGTTACTCGCCTATTTAATACAACCCCATGACAATCAAGATTCAAAATCTATAATTTTGTATTGGTAATAACAATAGCCAGTCCACTATAATGCATAAAATCTATCATAACTGTGTTTAACATCAGTTACTTTATATTTACATCTGTACAAAGTTTAATCAGCTCCTCTGTTGCTTGGTAACCATTCTGCTCAGTGGATGCCCAAACTAAATCAACTGAAGCTATTGAACTACAGTCAAGTTATCTTATTCTTTCCAAACAGAGAAGCTGCTGCTTTATAATGACACAAACTACAGATATTGGGCTTTCCACTGATTCCAGATCAGATGAGAGGGGTTTCCAGGAGAGACAACGCCTCTGGGCTGGTTTTAAACAACTGTGAAAACACACAGTCAGCTGGCTCACTGAAGCTTATTGTAAATTCATTAAACCAGCAGCTGCTTTCTATTCGGGAAGCTTCTCGCTTATCGAGCAAAGCGGGATGTAACTGTGGGCGTTGACACCTGGCTCGTCCGGCTGCTGATAGCTGACCGCTAGCTCTCCCCTCGTTATCTTACCGCTCAGCAGGCTAACACCATGTTAGCTCTGTTAGCAACACGGCAGTCGGTAGTTGGACAGAGAGCCATTGTCTGGGTGTAAAGACAAGGACTGCGCAGCCAACACGAGAGGAGGAGGAGGAGGAGGTGTGAAAGGAGGAGGGTCCGCGGTCCAAATGTGGCTCCCTGGCTACATAAGGTAGCAGGCGTGCTAGCATCGCCGGAGCTAAAAATAGACCCGCATCACAGCGAGCTAAACCCTGGCTGCTGATCTCGTTTCACTTCTGGCTGTGTTTAATTGCCAGCCCGATCCCCCCTCGCTTCAAAATGGACAGTATCCCGAACGCATTTTTGTATCCTGTCTGTCAGCCCCCCACCGGCAGCCTAGTCCTCACCGCGGGGACAAAACGTCAAACCGTCCGGCATGACCTCCGCAGGCGGCCCGATCCGCCGTCAGCCCTCCCCCGGGCTCAAGCCTCACTCCCGGTGCTCATGCAAATGCTGAATAAACGAGCCATAACCGTACGCAGAGGCGTTATGTAAAAGAGTTGAGAGACGGTCGGTAAACAAAAGATTATGACCAGACTAACCCCGTTTGGCGTCCATCTTGAACCTCCGTTAAGCATGCAGCACGGCGGCTCCGCCTGGCTGACGCGAGGTGAGAGAAGGGGAGAGAGACATAGACTAAGAGAGGGAGAGAGAGGGACATGCGCAGCTCGGCTCTATCTGTTTGGATGGAGGGACGCCTGATTTAGTTCAGACATACACATTTAGTTTTTTTTAATATTTTAAAACGTAACGCAACGCCGTTTACCTCCATACTAAACTGAATAATGAACATTAAAGAGGAAAAAATGCTCTGAATTCTCAGTTTCTGATCACAATGAGACCAAGAACACCTCACCATTCTTCCCTTTAATTTCCTTTAAATTAACTGGAAATACATCTAACAGAAAAGACCCACCTTATTCAGTACTACACACAGGTCTTGTTTATCACTGTCTTATGTTAATATAAACTAGTAAAAGTCTTCATGTCAGATTCACACCCACTTTATGAATGACTGCACAAATTACAGAACTTCCTTTATGCATTTCCTTCAACATGATCCCGTCCACAGTAACGGTCTGACACACAAAGTAAGTTCATCCACATAATTAATCTGAAAATGTCAATGATTGCATTTAGGGTGGTGGAAACACAGCGCACACACTCACTGTTCAAAGTTCAGACATAGGTGTGTACTGAGTATACTGTATGTGAAAGGTTATCTGTTATCGAGAAGAAACGGGTTTTCTAATGAGGATTAGGACAGCAGGAAGAGGAGGGTGGGAGGGGTGTTGCATAACCCGGCTGTAAAAGGACAACTTGCTCCAGAAATGCAGAGCAGAAGAGATAAAAGTTAGGAATTCAAATCCAACCCGCTGGAACGGAAGAAACCCACACTGTACATCAGAGGGCTGCTAGAGTCCAAAATCCATGTAAGGAACTACAGGCTGCCCAGGAACAGCAGGTGCATTCTGGGAGAACTGCAGTTTTTTTGTGAAAATGAAACACACTTTATACTCAGTTTCTATCTAACACAAGGAGTTTAACTGGTTAGTCAAAATGTATTCCTGTTGCCTCCATACGACCTACATAAACAAACAAGACCATCAGGGAGAAGACTGGCTATTTCTATATTGCCTTTCTTTTTGCCTGCCATCGGGTCGGATTCAGGCGGATTCCTCTTGAAATCAATAAAACAAGGTGGTGGAAACACTACTGCATTAGCCCACAGTGGCCGTAGCTTTAAGTAACCATTCAGTGCTAAAATTACATTGCAGATAACTAACATTATACTGCATGTACCGCTGCTCTGTCCCTTGGCACCTGTATTGTTGGACTAAACAAGACATTGTCTGAACTGTCAAAGTGCCGCAGGCAGTCTTTAAAACCATTGAAAACTGTGAAACTGAAGCAAACGTCCTCTCTGCAGGTAGATGGGACTGAAAATCATCTGTTTATGATACATCATTCAAACTGAGAAAATGACGTTGGTCCCCATGAATGATGCAGACACATCTGGGACGAACAGGCCTTGAAGCCCGACATGTACTGTATTTATGAGACATACACAACAATCTGAAAGAGTTGAGACCAAGAAAGACACGGAGCGGGACACTTTACAGTTGGAAAACCTTGTCAGCACTCTAAAATGATTCATCAGTCACAGTCGCAACAATAAACGGAAATTCAACCAATTCCTGTGAATTCTGCGCCACCTTAAAACTTTATCTTTACATATTGACATTAATGCTGATCCTTTGAGTCATAGCTCATCAAACTCACTTCCTTGTTTCTAGTTGTGAAGATGCAGACAGATTTTATTCTCGCTGAAACAAGATATCCTGGAGAAAAAACAGTCACTAAATACAAATAGTCACTGATGGACCCAAACGACTAATCAATTAACTGAGTGATGGTTTCAGCTCTGGTCATTGGTTATGTTAATAAACCGTCATTAGACATGTCAAAACATATCCAATTTGTATTTAATCGGCTAAAACAAAACAAACCTCCAGAATGGACCTTTAAATCTGTCCTGAACTTTCACCTGCAGAGTATTTTTTAAAAGGGCCTACCCCTTTTCCAAACAGTTTCCAGATTGTTCTGTGTAACAAACCATCTAGGAACTAACTCATTATTGTTGTGCAGCTTAAATAAACTTTTATGATCACTGAATCCAGCTGGTCTTTTTCCCCAATCATGATGATGATGATGATGATGACGGGGAAGGACTCATGACAAATGTAGGAGAGAGGTCAAAAAGATGATGATGGTCCTCATTTCTAACAATAGAAGCTGCTCAGTCTGACTTTGCAACAGAAAGCTTAGCTTGTTTCACTACAGTTGCAACCACAGAGCCTTTTCCACACACACACCAAAGACTGCTTAGTCACTGTGCGACTGGGTCTTGTAGTGTCACACAAACCTTCCTGACAGTTACAAAGCAGTTTCTTCGTCTTTTAAATACGTGTTCTGCTGCTTTGCGGCCCATACTCATCAATGACGGCTCGATGAACAGAGCCGAGCTGACACTATTATGACAAACACACACACACACAGCACAAAGGCTTCAGTGTTGAGATGAGGAGCACTACAGCCTCCGATGATGCAACGACAGCAGCACTCATGAAGATCAGCAGACAGCATGAGATAACATGCTAATGCTGACAGTCTACATAAACTTTATCAGACTACATTTCCTTTTTATGATGGACGTTTTAGTTTCACATTCATAAACAGTAATTGAACGTTGGAGGAAGTTAATGCAGTTTTACTGCCATCTAGTTGAAACACAGCTTCTCAGTACCACCTTTACCTCGAAAACCCTCAGGAACTATTTCCTGAAGGACACCTGAAGTACAGCTGCATCCACACGCTTTAAAAACACCCGATGAGGACCAGGCGGATTGCTTTTCTTGGTTCTAGATGATTGTATATCGAAAATCTTAGTCATTTTGAATAATGTTTGTACAATATGATCAACAATGGATTTGTTTGTTAAGTAAACTGCACACGTTGAGGTTGTTGTGCACATATGGCGTTGATAACACTCCTTAGGCCTTCTGTAACATTTATTGTAGCACCACAAATAGGATGGATGAATTAAGCATTTGACATCGGAAGCTTTTCTTTATCAATTAAAATGCAGATCACTTGGTTAACTTTGTGGTTGCTCTTTAGAGATTAATATTCAGTTTACTATAATTTATGACGACGAAAATCCACAAATCCTCACATTTTCGAAGCTCGAAGGATGAAATGTTTGGAATTTTTGCTTTAAAGATGACTAAGGATCAACCTAAAACCAAAGGAGTTGCCAGTGAGTTTTCGCTTGATCCACAGGTCTAAGGTGTAGTGACGATTACACTCCCTTTCTCAATTTTCAACTTAAAAACATGACTTGAGTGGCGGGAACAATAACGATCCCCGAGCTCCTGAAACCGGACTTGATAAAACACATCGTACATGGACAGAACACACACGCAGTAAACATGGGGCCTGTGCAGAAAGCTGTAGCCCTGACTCTCTTCCAGCTCATTAGCATATCCCCGGCACACTAACCAATCATTAAACTGCCAGCTAACGTCACTCCACTTGCAAATCCCTCCCTGCTCCTCTCCTCTACTGTCTACCTTTGGTCACAGTGGCCGACTGGCTGAATGTCCAAAGGTCCTCTCTGTGACTGCTGCAGTCGCCCAAGGACGAGACCACACAGCCCAGACAAATCTGCCATCATGTACCTCGGAGGACAACTCGACAAACAGTAGCAACCTGACCAAACCATTTCACATGACTGCCCCATGAAATCAGATATATTCTACAGTCCAGAATTCAGAATGACATTTTTTCTCTTTTGTCTCAAAGTTTTCAAAGCTTGTGTTTGAATCAATGGATCCAGCAGAGGAAGACGTTCAGCTGCATGTGCTGCAACGTCTGACTCCGTATCACCAAATCGATCTAGTTCGTCTCAGTTTAAGCATCAATGTCAAATATGTCCTAAAGTCCGCATGAAACGAGAGCCAAAGCAATAAAAAACACAGGCTATCTGGGACTGTTTCTCCCCAAAGCACCTCGAGCAGACAGCTTCCACTCTGCTGTGGTCACAGAGCAGGACAGTGACACTGCCAGCCTCAGAGAAACTGTCCAACAACAAGTCAAAGACACAAAGGTGGAAGAAAGGTGGAGGTATACCCTGTTCTCTCCACTGCTTTGCTGCAGGCTCGCACTCCTTTTTGTCCACAGAGTTGTTCTCCATGCCGTCCGATCAGCAAACACACATTCCAGACGGAGAGGGACCGAGCACCGCTAAATGTAAATGCGAGTAAATGTGTGTGTTCAGCTGCAGGAGGTGCTGGTGTAGGAGGAAGAGGAGGAGGAAGAAAGAAAGAGTGGGAGGGAGGGGAGAACCCGAGCGAGGCTTCCTCTGGGGGAGACGACTGCAGCGGGCGAATGAACTCTCTCTCCTGCAGGCGTGCTGTCAGCTGACCGTCTGCTGCCAGCGCTCTGACGCAGCAACTATAAACGTCTCTGCCTCACCTCCTCCCTCCCCCTCTTCTGCTCATGCTTTTTGGCATGCTCTCCCTTTCCCTCCTCCCCCTCACCACCGCCCAATCTGATCTCCCTTTTTTCCTCCCTCTAACTTCCACCCCCCCCCCCCATTTTCCCCTTTCCCTTCATGCTTTATCTCACCCTGCTTTTCCTTCGTCATCCCTCCTCCTCCCTCCGCTTTCTCAAATCTGCTGACGAAGCAGTGAGAAGGAGCCGATGGATGACTTCTGTCCGTCTGTGTAAAACACATCTAAATACAACAGCTACAGATCTCTAGAACAATAAAGCTGCACACTGTTTTAACGAAAGCAGGCAAAAAGGGAGGAGGATTGCACATGGTCAGCTGTGAGTGATCACATATCCACGTATCAGATTCCTGTTCTGTTTAGGACAAATTGTGAAAAAGCTAATCAAAGTTCAAAGAGCCAAAAGATAAAGCTTTCAACTATCTTGTCTCGGTTGCCCAACAGTCCAAAACCCACAATTTTGGCTCATCAACTAATCGAGTGATTGCTCCATCAATTTGAAATTTACCAAACTTCCACTTTTGCACAAGCTCTTGTACAGCTACTTTACAAAAACCTGTAATATTGGAGAACCGTGGCCTCTTTTGTTAAATGAATAAAACTTTTGCAGGAAGAACATCCTCTATTTCACAAAGTAAAGCATCACAAAGCTTCAATCATTTCGTATCAGTACTGAACCCGAATCTTTAACTATATCGTTTTTTATACTGTAAACTGCTCGAGTGGTTCAAACTTTACAGTCCCCTTCTTTAGTGTGAACAAGGACGTTAGGGAAAATAATGCAAAATAATGGTTGGTTGTCTGCCAGTTCGCTTAACTGCTGCCAAGATTTCCGAGCATTTACACGCCGTTCTCCCAAACAGGAGAGCAGGAAACGCACCAAAGAACAAACAGAAAAACATCTCAAATACAAAGAGAACTGACTAAAGCCGGTGCATGCTTACAGGCTGGATAGGATACAACTGTATATATTAGGTATCTTATCAACTGGTCCGTAGTGAGGGAGGGAGTTACACTTCCTCTGAGTGGTAATCACTGCTTTCTTCCACTAGAGGGCACCTGTCTCACTTTATAAACTCCTCTACCTCCCCTCTTCTTCGCTCTTCAAATCAAATTCAAAGGCTCTCACTTATAAAAACTCATTTAACAACGACAAAAGAAGAAGAAGACAGGGCCTTCAGCTGTAAGACAACGTCTGGATCAAAGAACCCCTTAGCAAAATCTATATGGATTGATCTGCATGAGACTGTTTCATGCTTTTGAATATTAACCCTTTTATAATGATCTAATTTACTACAAGTATTACACAGTCTACATACAATTACAATTAACAGGATTTTCCATCTAGTCCAGTGTCTGACCATTTCACCACGAGTCGTCTCCAGTGATGACCTGCAGTTCATGAAACAGTGTACTGCAGTGGTGAAAGAGAGGCGGTTACATAAAGGAGAAGTACAAAGTTTGTCTCTCTGAGGACAAAGCAGCCCACAGTGACCCTTCACCTCCTTCTGAATCACTTCTTTACTGCTGATGTTATCCACCGAGGTGATAGCACACAATCAGTCATTACTCAGGTCATAAAACTGTACACTACAGTTACACGTTCAAAGGCAGATAGTGACACATTTCCTTGTTTTTCCAACAAAATCAATGTAAAGCAATATCTGCATGTTAATGAAACCATTTGAATGTATTATTAGGCAATAATCGATGCTGTTATTTTCTTAAAATCCTGCCTGTGGCACATCAGTGTAGCTGTTTCACCTCAAATGGCTGATTTACTAACAAATGACAGACAGAATGAAAATGAGTTGGCAACCTCTCGTCCTATTTCCAGTGGATAGGAAACGGTGTCAGATATTACCGCGGGCATGTTTTTATAACCACATTTACATGGGTGGTGGGTTGAGGCCACAGGCCGCCACAGAAAGAGCAACCAGCTTTTAAGTGTGTTCAGACCTACAGCAACATGATGAACAAATCCCCTTATCACCTAAAGATTCATCCCGTTGTTGGGATCAATGGTAAGGGCAAATGCTGGTGAGATTAAGTCAGCAATCTCTCCTCTTATATATTGACCACCTGTATTTTCTTAATTTGATGTGTGTGAGACGTTTCTGGGTGTTTCTGCTCCCTGTCTGTGTCATGGACGTATAACGAGCTTCAGGTCTGTGTGTCAGTGTGTGTTTGACCGAGGGCGGACAGATGAAGCTACACTTCAGTTGCATTCACCAAAAAAATCCAGAAATAACCTTGCTTTGTCACTAACGTCATGTCCTCTCTTCATTTAGTCTCCAGGTAGGAGGGGGCCAACTTGGGAAACAACGGATAAATCCTGCATTGTATGCCTTTAAGATCACTACACAGATGCCATCAAAACCCCTTTTAATACCAACAATTAGTCGATGAATTGAGACAGTTAGTCAGTCAATCAACAGAACAATTGATTATTTTCAGTCACAAATGTGAACCAAGATGTGTTGCTATTCTGTTTTATATCACAGTGAATTGACTATATTTGGGTTTGGATTGTTGTGCAGACAGAACAAGACATTTTTCTGTCTATTTTCTGACATTTTATAGATCAAACAACTAAATCCATAAATCCATAAAATACTTGTAATAGGAACAAATACTGTGAGTTGCAGCCCTTATAATAACAACCTTTTGTTGCTCTGTATGTAAAGCCATAAAACACAAACATCACTCTGGTATCAGTAGTTCATCTCAGATACGCTATTCAGATCAGTAGAGAAAAAATTCCAAACAATCCGTCAGTGAAGCAACAAATAACGAGAGCTGCTCCTAGTGTGACAGGACGATCAGGGAGATTTATGTTCAGATCGCAGCTCTGCACCTCAAGTTGCATAATGAAGAACATTTGCTGAGTGGTTTCTGGGTCGAAGAACCCTTTGTGGGCCTGCCAGTGTCGCAATGCAGGGAGGAGGAGGAAAAGGAGGAGGAGGAGGAGGCTTTAATTAACAGGAGATCTTTCCAACACACAGTTACCGCTTCGGCAGCTTGTCCCAAAGAGCAAAGTCCTACTGCTCTACTTACACAGAAGCTCTAGTGTCTGCAACACTGTGGATGTGTGTGTGTGTGTGTAAAGGCATTAATATAAGTGTGTGTATATTAAGTGATCAATATCAGTTCAAATAAAACTGAGTCATCCATTAAAATGAAGACTAAGCGATGTTGTCTTCAGAGAGACAGCGGAGCCTCGGGAGCGATTCATCACTTCCTAAAAGCCCTGAAGGAGGCCGCTCTGCATCTGTCTGATAAACCATCTGAAATATCATTACATCACAGTTTTATTCTCGCACACATTACCTCAGGGCACAATAAAGACGAACTACAAACACTGGGTTTTACAGATTAGAAGATTTTAGACTTGCCCTGGATATTAGAACTGTGGCAAGTCTAAAATCTGGTTTGGCATCATTACGGTTATCAGATGGACTCTTAAAATAAATAATAAAATGCATGAATTATCCACTTTTTAATAGAGAAAATACCCTCCCAAAACTTCCAGGTACAAATTAACTGATCAACCAATCCTCCTTAGGGCTATTTTCATGAATTGTGAAAAAAGTAGAAAAAATTGCCATTACATAAGAGCGTCTTCAAATGCCTTGTTTTGTCTGACCAACAAACCCCAAAGATATTCAGATTACTGTGATATAAAAGCAAACAAAAGCAGCAACGACTCACACTGGAAAAGCTGGAACCAGCAAATATTTGCCACTTTTGATTTATTAAATAATAAATCTAAGTAAATAATCAGAGTGGCTGGTGGACAGAAAGTTCAACAACCTATAAAGTCATTACAAGTCAAATTATGTGGCACAGAGGTTATAACTAAATGATATTCAGCATTTAGCTTCAGGTACATAAAATCTGATGCAAGCATGTACTGGGTGTGGGAGAGATTGTAAAGCACAAAATAAATCAGAGTGGCAGCATATTCAGTCAGTTACAGGGCGTGGTTGGCCGCTCTGTGTGTGTGTGTGTGTGTGTGTGTGTGTATGGTTGTGAGTGTGTGTGTGTGTGTATGGTTGTGAGTGTGTATGTGGTTGTGAGTGGGTGTGAGTGGGTGTTGGGGTCTATAAGGTGGTGTCTGGTTTCCAGAGTAGAGAGAAGCTAAAACCAGATGGAAAAGGTAATCCAATTCGACAGCAAAAATGCTCAGAGGGCAAACAGAAGCATCAGTACAAGTGTTTGTAGGTGGTTAACAATTAAGAAAAACCAACATCTCTGTTATCTAAGTATAAATAATATAATCAGTGTATTTAAAAAAAAAAGACAATAAAAGGAGCTCTTGTTTTTAACAGAACAGAAATAGTCAAATAAATCACATTTTACTTACCACATCGTAAAATGTAAATTCATAGATGAAATAAAATGATCAGGTACACAGAAATGATGTTAATCTGATGAGACAGCAACGCACAAATGCAGCAAAAGCACAATGGAACACACAACCACACAAATTAAACCGCTAAATGCAAGGGTTAATTTTCAAAGAAAAAGCAAAAAGGGACGATGCAAGAAAGGAAAGGTGACACTAAGGAGAGAGGGACTAAATACCGGCTGCTGGTTGGGTGGTTGGGAAAAAATTACTGAGGAGAACAAAAGAGTGAGGATGAAAATTATGCCGATGAACATGGAAGTGCCAGTGAAAACTGAGGAGGATGTGGGGGGGATGGTTTCCATGCCTGAACTGGTATATTTTACCTGCTCTTATGTTCACGTTCGGCATCTTTAACAGTTTGCCACCCTCCGCACTCTTCTTAGCGACCGCCTCCTCTGGTTTGCAGACAGGGGAATGGGTGAGTGGAGCTTGGGATGGGGGCTGCTGAATGTCGAGCTTCTCCAGCTCTGCCTTGCTCTTCTGGGGGGAAGCCTGGGTGAGGAGGCGGTAGGAGCTCTGACTTGGAGCCTCTTCTTCAACCTTGGGGGCCGGGACTTCTTTTGTCAGAAGCGGAGCAGCAACTGGAGCCACATCTTTCTGCCCAAAGCTTAGATCATCATCATCATCGTCATCATCCATGGGGATCTCTGGGGGCATGGAGGAGGCAAACTTGGAAGTATCCAGAGCCTCAAGAAACTCATCGATAACACCCCTGGGTGGTCGCTCAATGAACTCGAACTCCTCAGAGGAGACTTCATGCTCAGAGACCTCCTCAGCCACCTCTGGCTCCTCCAACTCCATCGTCAGATCCTTCTTCTCTGTTTCCACCTGGAAGCTGGCAGGGTTCTTGGCCATGGCTTCCAGGACTGGTGACAGGGAGTCTGCTGTTGGCGATTCTGAATCGGAGTCCTCAGCGGGGGTCTTTTTGCTCTGAAAGTCGAGTGGCTCAAACTTTTCCGTCATTTTGGGAGAATCATGGCTTGAAAACCAATCTTTCTGCTCAATCTTGACAGGTTCCTCTTCCTTGACCTTAGTTGGGGTGGTTTCCTCTGCCTCTTTGACAAGATCAAATGAGCCAAAGCTTTTGTCGTCTTCGACTTTTGCTTTGTCAGCTGTTTTCACTTCCAACTCTTCAGTCATCTCCTTTAGGAGGGACACTTTAGCATCAAAGGCAAACGGGTTGTTAGCGGACAGATTGATTGGTGGGTTGGGGGACTCCATCATCCTCCGTTCAAGAATAGGACTCCGCTCCTCCGGGCTTCCCTCTGAGGAGCCTGAGTCGATTTTGTCATGGTTGAGTGGAGAAGACTTCAGGATGTCTGGAAGCGATGGTGGCAGAGCAGAATCCTCCTCTTCCTCTTCCTCTTCATCATCATTTTTCAGACCAGATGAGAACTGACTTAGTGACTGCATGAGCGAGTCAGTAGCCGTCTTGCTTATCTCAAATGTTTTCCCCTCGTCTAAGAAAGAGGGTGGGATATCCTGGGATTCTCCACTCTGGCCATATTGGACCAGATCTGGAGTGGGACTCTCTGACATTTTTGAGGCCCTGCTGTCGGACTTGGAGTCTCCAAAATGGGAGTAGCCACTGTCTGCCAGTGGGGAATAGCCCTCAAATGGGTTATTATTCTTCTTCACCTCATACATCAGGTCATCATCTTCATCAGACTGGTTGCCGTGCAGGTCTTGCTCATACCTGGAAGAGCTAATGGGAGCTGTGTCCTTGGAGAAGGTATCCATGGAGACCTTGGAGTTGTCTTGAGATGCTAGAAATGGTGAATCCCAGTGCTCTGTTGGGTTAGAGGAGGCAAGGTGAGACTCAGGGACCATCATCTGGGGATTCACGGGGGAGGGGCCAGTGGAGGACCTGTCTGAGCTAATCAGCTTCTCCTCAGGTGAAAAGGAAACTCCGCTGTCTTCGCACGGATTATGAGGCCCTGGGTCTTTCCCTAAACTCAGGTAAGGACCAGCTAATGGATCTAGAAGGTCTTCCTTATTCTTACTACGGCCCGGTCCAGAATCACCCTCTTCACCCACCCAAGGCATGTCCTTGGAATGAGTAGTAGGAGGGTCAGTGGAGAAGGAGCCCAAGGGTACAGCAGATCCCGAAGTAGGGGGCTGGTTGGGACTCTCAGTCAGAGAGAGCTCCTCCAGAGAGTCAGGGGAGTGAAGAGGGGAGAGAGGAGAGATGGGAGCAGGGGAATCACCCTTCTGCCCAAGTGCTTGAGTAGAGAGGGAGGAGGGAGAATGCAATACAGCACATATCAAAGACATACTCCATTCCTTACAGTGCCCACCACACCTGGGGAGAACCACTAGGACCAGACAAGTGCTGCTAAAAGGTTAGCTGTGGCTGGTAGACAGTTCACGCACAGTTTGTGTAAATGATCATTTCTGTTCATTCTAAAAAGCCTGACCGTATGAACACCACCTGTCAAAAGCGTCACAAAGTGTGTTTTAAACGATCGTAATTCCAGAATCTTGATTTTCCTAAAACTAGACTTTTGCAAATATTGCAATTTATCACAATATATTGAAGTGCAATCCCTGTATCATAAGTATTGTAACACCAGATTATTGCCAATAAACAGTCTTATTATATTGTAGTATGCAGTAAGTACAGTACGTCAAAACTGAAGGAAGAAGTACAGTAAATCCTCCGGCGGCAGTGGTAACCTCATCTTCTAGTTTTCTTCTAGTTAGTCAATGACAGACAAAACTAAAGTCACTGCCTCTGCTCGTTCTCCTTTTGTGAAGTGTGTGATTTTTTTTTATGTCATACAATATTATTTTGGAATTTGTCTAGTAAAGTGGGATCTTTGATGTCCAGCGGTTTCCCTACTTGACTTAGTTCAAGAAATGTTTCAATTTTTACTTTTTGGCATTCAATTTTCTCAAATGTAGCAGCAAATCTAAAGAACCTATAAAAAGAGGAGAACTATCTTTTGACTATTGGAAAAGGCAAATCAAGTACACCCCAAGTACGGAAAGAAGCATTTTTGTCTACTACTTTTAAAGCTTTATTAGTCAGCTATGTATTTTGGATCAAACAGGACTACAATGAACGCAGAGAGAGCAGACTACCTTCCACAGTCAAGATTCGGCAGCATTTGTCTGGTGGTCTGATCGGTCTACCACCGTAGTTTAATGCATCGTGGTGAAATAATCTTTTGCCCCAGGTCTGGCGCCAATAAACCATGCCTAGTGTGTCTTACCAACACAAACTGTTATGTGATGGTAGATAATGATTCCTCACAAAGACCTTTTTTCAAAATATTATAAAAAACACCAATATTGTTTCAGGCCAGTCAATCACTGAGGAGAATCATTATTCATCTACAATTGTGTAAATTCATGTCAATCTACTCTACAGCAACAATCACATGTAAGTCACAATGCAGCACAAACACAAGCAAAGTCAAACATCAAATTTGGTGTTTCAAAGATACTCAGTACAAATCCGCAAGCATCCTATGTCAATGCTATTATAGGTGACAAAAATCTACAGCTTCTTACATGCAAAGGGTTATTTTTGCCACTTAACTGACAAACAGGAGAGTGAACTAAAGAAGTAGTTAAAGAAAAGTAAAAGACGGGAAAACAGCGAGCAGAGAGAACTTGCCTGTAGGGAATTGCATCAGAGGATGAGGCTGAGCTTTAGAAGGAGAAGGTACATCTGTGGAAGAAACAAGAGAAAGCAGCAGAAAGTGAATTTAGTCAGCCCAAAAGAGAAAGACCAGAAGTGACAGATACTCTTTATCACAAATGACTGGAAACCACATGCCTAAACTAACATAAAGGTACTTGTCAGAAATTCTCAGCTGGGACATCTTAATCACAGCTTCTGTGTGTTACATCAGTGTAGTTAAGGAAACACAAAAGGGGGATGCATGGGTGCCTTCAGGGTCTTCTTAATCCAAATTCAAAATACTGTTCCCCAGAAAACACTGGCTAGCTAGCATGAAAACAGCCATAAGATGTTGAGATACTGTACATTTACACAGTTTACTCAACAAGTTCTGTCAGGTATGTCAACATCTGTTAAAAGGCTCAAGGTTTCATTTGGTAGTGAAGGTAGGACAGAACAGACAGAAGGTCAGTGTCATAGCAAAACAGATTGCAATGAAGAGAGGTGAGGAGGCCTGAAAGCATAAAAAGAGGAAGCTGGCCTGATGAGACACCAGAAGTGACCATGCTTCATGGTTTGTAATTCTGTGAGTTAACAAGAGAGCAACAAGAGGGAAACACAGGCGTTTCAGCTACATACAAAATCTCACACTGGCTGCATGCCAATAACAGAAATGTAAATGACGGTCTAAATAAAGCTGTACAAATACTTTCAAAGCTTCAGCAGTTGCGCCACTGCAGCACATTATGACACATCAACACAGTTTCAGTGATTTGATCAGCGAGGTTGCTAAATCTTCATTTTGAGCTCCTCGGTTAGCTGAACCAAAAAGCAGATGGCTTATAAAGTCAAATTAAAATGAATGAAATTAAGGACAGAGGCCATTTCTGGTTCTTTAACCAAATTAGTTAAATTCTTTTTTATTAATAGACAACCACATGACACTGAAACTATACAAGTAGTCCAAAGTGAGAGGTCACAGGAGGATAAAGGAAAATACAGCTCCTCAAAAAGCCAGAAACCCACAAATAACCACTTTACTATGTTTTATGGATAGAAACTGAAGCAAGAGTCTCAAACTAAATGGCACTATTGTCACACTTATCCAAAATACAAACCATATTTTGGTGGATTACAGTATGTTTTATGGCTTGTAGTGGTTCGACTTTGCAATCACTCTTGCCGAGGTAGCCTGGGGCACATTTGACCACACATCTTTTGTAGTGTACAACACTTAAGGGCCACAATGAGGGACTGCCTGCTCACCTGAAACCTCTAAGCACACACAAAACACACCGTCTATTTGATTCACTGTAACTTCAAAAGCTCTCTTACCTGTCAAGATAAACAGCACGTGTTTGTGAACACACCGTTTTAACTAGTAACTGCAATAACCTCAGGCCCGCTTAAAAAAATTGCACAATTTTGAGAGTTGAGTGAGGAGAAACTTTATAAACTTTGTGAAACGCTGTCTACAACTAATTCTTCAGAGTGAGGGAGTCAAGTGATTATGGTTAGACCTAATCTACTGCCGTCCACCGTCTACAGGCTGCTCACAGCACAGGTAAAACATGATAATACAATTGTAATAAAAAATAGGCTGAAAACTGGCCTTAAGTGGCAGTCGTTACTGAATCCATGGTACTTTCTCCAAAGCATTATGGGAATTGTAGATATGTGGGGCAAATGATCTCTAGCACATGATGTCCTCTCCTTAGAACTGCCACTGAGCAAAGTATTTAGCTTAATCTCTGAGGTCATTAGGGCAACTCAGACAGAAAGAAATATGCAGGTGCTGGGGAAGTGCTAGCAAGGCACTACATTGTTGAAAGTAGATGGGAGACAGGTGCTTGTATTGAGCAGCTCCCACTGTGAACCTGAAGCAGGACGAGGCTCCTCGGGTTAAAAATAGTTAAAAAGGCAATGACAAATATTTGCTGTTGTGATGCTGATGAACAAAGTTACAATGCACCATGGGAGGTCTCATCATATTATGAGAATAAAGAATGAAAATCAATCTTGATCAGGAAAAAATCTGCATAAATCAATCTTTAGCTGATTATCAAATGTATTGGCAGAACACAGAATCAGTTTGCAACACAAATGTATGCTGATTTTATAATCTGATAATCATTAGGCCAAAATGATTCTTCAGAGGCCGCTTTGTTTGGTTACCTCTGCTGTCAAGGTTTAGTTTCCAGCCATGAAGAAGACCTGTAGGATGGAACCAATAGGACATATTTAACATTCAACTACAGCGGGTTGTAAACTCAGTGTGAGATTTAAACAAAAGTGGATCCAAATATATAACTAATTTCCAGTGCGGTACTGTCCTGTTCAACATCCAACTCTGAGTTTTCCCAGTCAGTCTGAATGCGACAGGTTGTCTCTAAACAAACTCACTGGTTATATATTTCTACTGATGCATATAGTCAGAAGTTTCTTATGGCCCCAAAAAGTCAATGATTGCAGTCAGAATTGCAGAAATTAGTTGCCAGTGTAAGTTTTTACCAGGCAACTAAACATCCAGAGGGAGGCTCCAAATAGAGCTTCACAGCAGTATAATGTGAATATTTCATGTACTGCATACCGACTCTTTTGTAGGCAGCAATATTAACTGTGCAATGAAGAGTTTATAGTGTTTAATACAACTATTAGAAATAATATAAATGTGGTTTTCAAATGTATTTTGAAGTTCTGATTTTACTGTGTTACAGTTTGCACAATAAAAATAGTTCATCCGGATTCGTTCATATATTGTCTCATTTTGTGGGCCCAAGAACCCAATAGTAAAATAAAACATTCTATACAGGATGGCATTAAAATGTTACTATATTTGATGTCAGTAGGATAGGACACTATAAACCTATATAAAACTCCAGTCATGAAAAAAATAAATAAATACTGTGATATACTGTGAAGTCAAGCCCCTACCTCTGCCAGCGTCACTGCCTGCTCTACACGCTGAGGTATTTGTTTCCTTGTGCTATAAGTATCTTGAGGAACGCCTCACAGCTCGACACTGATATATGACTTCAGGCCAGCGACTCACCTGCTGCCATCTTGTATAAGAAAGAACTCAATGTACGATTCTCTGAGAGTCCAAGAGTCTATAACGTCAATCTCTTATCAATGAAAAGTAAAACAACCCGAGCAGGTTGTGTTGGTTCCTGCTGGTTAGTTTGATGACAGACAGAACATCTGCACTGACAAATGATTTCACTGTCTCTGCTGCAGTCTCCTATCTACAAATGTTATGTTATGTAAGTGTGTAATAAAAAAAAAAAAAACATTGAACAAATTAATATTGAACAAAAAACACATTTAAGTTGTGGGTTCTGTGGTGCTTCTGACTCTGAATGTTCGCTGACATTCAGACGTTTTGGGGGAAAGAGCACGCCAAAACCAGAACCTCCTGTTTCTGATTCAGCTTTGATCCATTTGTTTAATGTGTCTGTCTGCAGAGAGAGGACACAGAGCGAGAGGGAAACTGGCCTCCAGCAAAACCAAACCTCACCTAACCTTAACTGTCGTCTGAACGTCCACCCTGTTATAACATGCCCAGCTGAGGAGGTCAAACTGTGGTATTCCAGGATGATAATATTAAGTTCTGGTGTTCATCTCATTCTCTGGCTCTCTGTCGCTGCTACTGAATGAATGACAGAAGAAATAGTTCCATTACATGACTCACTCAATTAGTGAGCTTTAGAGCTGTTTGTTGTTGTGTTTTTCAACTTTGGACAAAGCCAGGCTAACTGTTTCCCCCTGCTTCCAGTCTTTATGCTAAGCTAGGCTAACCGCGTCATGACTCCAGCTCTGTACTGAACACAGACATTAATTATGTACAATAATTAATGTCTGAAAGTATTGAAAGAGCAGATATTATGTTCTGATTTGATTTCATTATAGATCTATATCTGTCTCAGCTTACAGTATATGTTAATATATATAGTAATAACTAGTTACTCACTAAATAGCTATGCCTTTATAACCTGATAAAAGGGATCATTATCAGAAATGTGTTTTTGTTATGTGCTTATGTTAAAAAACAAATATCAGCAGATATACTACCAGACTTTTTAAAACTGAGATATTGGTCACGATAAACAACTACATGTTGATTTTGGTCACAAAAACTAACGTTAGCACTTTGTGGCCCTCTTTTATACTCCTGCAGTCTAGAAACAGGAAAACAAAGAGGTCAAGTCTTCCTCTTTTAAAAAGACCACTTTTGTCATGTTCTTCTCAGATCCCTTAAAATTAATTCTGCAAGTCACTGGTTGCTTGTTCATCCGTTCTCTCCCTTTCAAATTGGATCAGGTGCTCGTTTGTGATGTTGACGGGTTCGTCAAACTGCTTCATTTGCTTTGTCATTGTCTCTAAAACAGATGCTTGTGCGCATGTGAGTAAACCATCTGGTTGCAACGTCTGTGACAGCATTTATTTATTTTGCAGTGCACATTTACTATTTGTAAATAATATTTTTATATTGGTTGACAATTTCTTAAAATGGTTGAGTCATTAAGAATCTGGACAGCTCTTTTCAACTCCTCTGCAGTAAGATGAGGTTTTTACTCAGCTGTAAGAAGGCACTGAAGAAGAAACTATTTCCTGATCCACTGGTCAACCTGCCCAACAAAATGGCTGATTTTTTTTTTTTTTTTTAAAGCTTTAAATCAGCATTAATGTGATGAATGAATCGAACATGGGTAAGTATCATCTTTCACCACACAGCTCTGGAAATCTTTGCTTATCACAGCGATAAGAGACCAGCTTTAAAACAGATTAACATGTGGTTCTCATCATATTTAGGATTTTGACGCACTTCTAGACTGAAAGCCAGCTGCCGCGTTGGCAGAATAAAAGCAGAGAGGCCAGGCGTCGTTGCTTTGGGTGGAGGGGTCGGACTCTGAAGCACTTAACCCCACTTATGTCCAGCCTTCACCAGGATACAGAGAAAACAACAACAGTGGACGGCACACACAGACGCACTGAGCTTTAAGCCTCTGTGACTGTGTGTCTGACATCTCCCCTCTCCGTCTAATCCACCTGACCACATCACAAGCTCTTCACAAACACACGCTGACGGATGTAGGTGACCCAAAAATAAGATGTAGGCCGGCGGTGATCACCGAGCCCCGGGCGATTAAGCAGCCCGTCAGTCACAGCGTCTGAATGTCCAACAGAGGGGACGAGAGTTCACCTCAAACACCTTTTTTGGGGTGACGACATGAATCTGCGTGATGTTAAGTCACAGCAGGACTCGCACACTCGTGTTCAGAAAAGATAAATGCTTTGAGAATACAAAAGAGTGAAGAAGTAGGTAGGGTGACACCGGTGTGAAACCCTGTTCATTTCCCCCACAGACAGTGTTATGTTACTGGTCTTTGACGGCGAGGTTGTGCCATGTTTCATCTGAATCATTAACTGACCACGTATGACAGACTAATTACTGGGGCTGGGTGTCTTGTAATGCTCGATACTAGTGCCAAAACCATTTTTACTAGGGCTGCAACTCGCTATTATATTTATTATTAATTAACCTGCCAATCATTTTCTCCATTACTCAATTAACCATTTGGTTTAGGGATGTCAGTTTTTGTTCATTTTGCTTTCAACAGACCATTTAAGTCTTGATGGAATAGTATTTGGTGGTTAACCACTGACATGCCTATTTTGGTCTAGAAAATGTCTGAGAGCAGTGAAGAATACCCAAGCTGATGTTTTTTACAGTCTACTTACTATATCGTAAGACTAAGAAAAGCAGAAATGATCATGTTTGAGAAACTGGAACCATCAAATGTTTCTCATTTTTGCTACACTTAAACGAGTAATCTGTGGCCGATCGTTTGAGAAATATCAACACATTTTACAAAAGAAGCCAAAGCGTTAAATGTTGTCTAAACACGAGCATCTGCGAAACAAACAATTCTCCATCCGGGGATCAATAAAGTATTTCTGATTTAACAACACTGCCCAAATAAAATAGTCCAATACTGGCTAAATGTATACTGAAGGAACTGTTTTATAAAAGAATAATAACCCGACAGATATTATAGTTTTTGAGACTCGGTGCAGTTGTGAACAGGGTTTACCAATAGGACTGCAAATAATGAATATTTTGTCAACTGATAAACTAATAATTTGACCTATAAAGCAGCCAATAAAATACTAGAACCCTTTCCTGAAGCGCACATTGACATCTTCAAGTACACCGTTTTATCTGACAAACAGTGATCTGTTTACTGGGTGAGAAACTGGAACCTTGTGACCAAAAAATCAATGAATGCAGCTTTTACTTTTCATGTTGACACTTTTTGATCACACCAGATTGGTTATCCTCAGATTTTGCCACTACATAATACCGTACAAACAAAGACAACACAGAGCAGGTATGAGGGTGCAAAAGGCCAGAGGACCATCTGCAGTGATGGACAATGAACAGACAACACACTCGGTCTGTAATCTCCCTGAAAGGTGGATCAATGCGAATGATTTCTTTTTGTCTTTTGTTCAGAGCGGTGACTGCGATGCTTTAACTAGAGCTTGTGGTTTATCCAGCTCCATCGGTGGCCTTGCCAAGCAGCCCCACCCTGCCTCTGTGCTGCCTGCTCCTGGCTGCTGTCTGTGCCTGGAGGAGGCCAGGGGGGCCTGTTTACCTGCTATCTGCCTCATCCGTATAAACAAAAACAACAGCTCAGAATACACACGTCCTAACATTATCATCACTACTACAGAAAAACACCACTTCAGGAGCATTCAAGTAACAGCAGCTTAAAGGGACACAGAGGGCTCACAGGCCTCTCTGGCTAAATTGTTTTCGGATTTAAGGGTGTTGGTTTGGGTGGAGATGATGGGGGGTGGGGGGGCTGAATGACTGAAAACAGGCCGGCAACAGCATAAGAAATACAACGCTGATTTAAGGCGTTGACGTAGCCTGGTAACAGTATGGAAATGTTGGGAAGCAGACAGGGAGTGGACGCTGAGCGGATTCCTTTGTTGTGACTAATCTCTGGGTTACAGCTTTGGTACACCGTGCGCTGCTAACCGCTGCGTGCTTCCATTATCGGACAGATCTTTGTCCGGCGTGCCACTTCTTTCGTACTCACATCCGCCAAACTACAAAAGATAATCTCACAAAGCCCCGTCTATGTTGTAGCTGCGAGATTTCGGATTATCAGGTGTTATGTTGGTTAACGTTAGCTTACATCGAGCACTAACTAGAGTCAACCTGATTGCCGATAACCAACACCGGACACTAACGGTAGAAACCCCACACCATCGGGCGGCTGCCCTTCCCTTGAGCTTTGTATTACATGGCAGTGATAGCCTCGACACCTGATAGCCTCTCAACACTGTTGTTTGTGGCTGCTCTGACAAATACCAAGAGAAAAAAAAAAGTCTGTCCGATAATGGAACCCGGCTAGCAACAACGGTTAGCAACAGCGGGCACAGAGCAGATGGGCGCTGCTGAGTCTGACACAATGATGAAACATATAACGGTGAAATTAACGCATATATTCATGGGAAATGTTTCAAAAAGACACGCCAGACACTCGGTTAATGGCGTACGTTGTGACTACGCCGCTGAAGAGTAAATGGTGCAATATCGCCAGCTCATCCAGTCAACAGCTCACATTATGCTTCCTGTCGTTTATTTGTCAAAACAGGTGGGCCGCATCTCTACAACACAGCGAAACCGGGCTAACCTGCTAGCTCCTTTTATGGACAAAAGAGAGCCAACATGGCTCTATTTTCCAAAGCCCATTTCCTCGTCTGGTTCAAAGTGTGGTTTTCTTATTCACAGTGCACCCAGCTGTCAAACAGCAGGTCAGCTTCATGATGAAAGACCCTCCGCTCCCCTCAGGGTAGCACCACTAGCTAACCGGCTAGCCTCACCGTGACGGAACTGTATAAATATTAACAATCTGGATAAAACCACCATTTAATACAGTTTAACGTGTTCTGGTGGATAAAGTTGGTTAAAAGGTAGCGCTTCAACGCACTTATTTATCTGCATGTCGGCGTCTGGAAAAGCACATAATGCTAACCTAGTTCAGACACTAAGATGGAAAAATACCGAAAAATACCGTTTACTATACTACATTCACTAACACGGTTTATAACATTTATATTTATTTATCTGCTTCAATTAATACAAACTCCTTCCTGCAATAAATAGTCATATTTTCCCCGTTTGAACACTCACACGATGCTGGAGCCGGTGGTTCCTCTGTCACCGCAGGTTGCTCTGCTGCCTCTGCGGGGGCTGGGGCTGCTGTCCGGGGTTCAGCCACTGGGAGGGCGTCGCTCGCCGGGGAAGGTTCTGGCTCGGGGGCAGCCTGTGGCTCCGGTACGATCTTTGTACTCTCCGGTTCGACTTTGGGGGCGACAACTTCGGGTTCCTCGGCAATTAAAGGGCTCTCAGGGACAAAAGAAAGGCTGGTGGAGTCTGGGATTGCAGTCTCTACCTCAGGCTCTGGTTCAGGTTTCTTTACCTCTGGTACTGACACTGGTTTCGGGTCTGACACTGGCTCTGGCTCCGGCTCCGTTACGTGGAAAGACTCTGGTAACGTTACTGGGTCCTCTGCAGGAGCGGTGGGAGTTTCTGTGAACGCATGTGGCGCACTATCTTCAGCTATGTGACGGTCCAAGGCGTCCTGAGCCCCGCCGACCAGGTCCACAATATCATCCACGCTGAAGAGGTCTTGTTTGGGCTTGTCCAGCTCGGAGTCCGGCTCGGCCTCAGCCTGGTAGTGGTGCACCTCCTCACTGAACAGAGGAGTGGTGGAAGAGACTTCATGCTCCACGCTGTCTGCCATTTTTTTTTTCTAAACTGTTTTCTGAGGTGGAAAAAGTTTCAGATCCGGTAATTTCTCGCCTCCGTTACCTCCTGGAACAAACTCCCACCGAGATGAGCTTTGAAACCGCGCCGGTAACTCCCTCCGGTAAGTCTGCTTTTGACACCGGACGAAGTTGGACAAGTGCGCCACACGACAATTACCACAGAGTCGGACCCGAGTCTCAGATGGATACTGAAGTTGAGGAGGAGATGAGAGGAACTCCGCTGACCAATTACCTGTGGCTCAACTGCTGAGTGACACGAGCTGTGGCCAATCAGAGCCTGTCAAAGTAGACGCTGACCCCGCCCACCAGAGAGGAGGCGTAATGGGACACCTCCTCCATCAAACCACCTCTAAAATTTAGGAGGAGCACAGAGTTCAGTCAGTCCTGTTCTGACATAAGTTGTGTTCCAGCGGGGCAGTTATTACATAACTTTAACATAGTCTTTTTCTTTTTTTACACCAACTCGTCCTGCTATGAACACACAGCCTTTAAGAAATGTCATACAAAGACAAGTAGTGCTGGAAGAAGTACTCAGAACACATAGTAAACATTATCCTAGTAAAAGTAAAAGTCAAGTTACAAAGAATGACTAGTCCAAAGTTTATTTAAACTCTAGTCACATTTTTGGTGGATATCATTTTAACTGCTTTGGTATCATAATCTATAACAATTCATCATAATTTATAGGTTGATAATGTGTTTTTTTTGAAAAATATACATATATTTAAGATTTGAATCCTTTATTTGAGAGTGGAGAGGAAGTGAGGGGAATGACATGCAACAACAGTCCCGGACAGACTGGAACCGGGACGTTGTGTTCCACGTCAGAGGGTATCAAAAATATTAAGATGGAAATTAATTAGCAACTAAAGTTGTTAAATAATGTACTGAAGTAGCATAAAATAATAACAAAACATGTAAAAATTGTATTTAAGTACAGTACTTAGAGCTGATCTACACAGTAACTTTCCACCTCAGAACACATGCTAGATGTTTACAAAGGGGGGAGAAGAAAAAATCCTGCTGCATTCAGAGAACCTGCGGTAGTAGTTTAAACTGCCTACTTGCTTGTGAAACTGGGAGATATTTAAAACCCTGACCAGCTTTGAAGGTACTTCTGATCTCCAGACTTTGCCTACATAAAACACAGACTAAAACTAGTAACATTTTGATTCAAACCAAAGAATAAGACTAAACAACGAAAAAGAAAAATGTTTCCATGCCTCCCCGGTCAGCATTCAGAGACTTGAGATGCAGTTCAGATGCACAGCAACTGTATGAGCTAAAATCTGACTCAACAAAATCTAAAAACATACTGGATGAACAGTCTCTGGATCCAAGGAGGTCTGAACAGGACCTGGAGGCTTTAGAGGTCAGTGCTTTGCCGACGGGAGCTTTGACGGAGATACATGAACTTAAAATGAAGGAGAGCACGCTTCAGTAGGAGTTTTTTCTTCTCCACCATTGCAGCATTGCACAAACTGCCTCTCTGACAATGCTGTTTGCTGGAATGTATAAATGTCATGGGGACTGTCTGCATGTTCACAATGCTAACACGCTAACATTAGCTATTTAGCACACAAAGTACAGCTGAGGCTGAGGGGAATGTCATTAGTTCTGCAGGTATTTGGTCATAAACCAAAGTATTGGACACATTAAAATGTTGACCTGATGATGGCGTTAGACAAAAGTCAACGATCACCAAAGTCAGGAATAATTATCCTCTGTGGACCACGAATATCCGTGCCAACAGTTGTTGAGATATTTCAGTCTGGACCAATAAACAGACCAACACTTCCATACATGAAGCCATGTGCTGCTCGCATGACTAAAAACTAAAAGCTGCCTCACCAAATGTTTTGATCTTGCACTTTATTTTGAAATATCTAATGTGTTTTATATTCCAGTTTCTCCACAGAGATCATTACGTTTCTTCAGAGAAGATGAAGGTGAAAATGTGGTTTTGGAAGTAAGCATGAAGCTGTAGAGAGTCAGGGAGCTCAGTCCGAGATATAGAGTTACACAGCATACTGATGACAGGCCACAGTCTATATATAACATGTGAATATATATGTCTGTAAGAATATATGGCTGCTTCAGAGCTGGAGCGGGCCAACATATGGTCATGTGAGAGAGACTGCGCAATGGTGCAGGGGGACAAAAATGTCTCAGTCTGACATGATGAGATTTGAATAATTACATATTGATAGTAGAATTGATTAGATTTTAATGTTTGTTCAAGCCTAAAATAATGTTTTAACTCTAAAAGTGAAGGAACATAATATAAAACTGTTTGCAAAAGACAAGATTATGTGTGTATTGTGACTGCATGCATTTACAATGAATGTATCTATTAGGTATTGTGTGTGCGTATCAAAGCCTGATATATCTT